AAAAAAACAAAAACAAAAAAACAAAGAAAAGAATAATACCCAGAAAACAGCAAAGTTCTGTTACTGTTGTGGTACCTGGCACCATTTTTTACTAGCATCTTAATCATCATCTGGAAAGAAAACATTCTAGAGTAACATCATTAAAAACAGCTCTGATAAAGCACTGTCACTACTACATATCATAAAGCAGGGACAAGATGTTTTACATTCGCAGAGGTATGATAAAGCACTGTCCTACATCTATAATACCGGAGGATACAATTAAAAAGGCATTATTTCAGACTTGATTCTACTTTTTCCAGCAGAGGGCCCAAGAACGTTTACATTTTTTAAAAACATTACAGTACAAGAAACACCGCCATTATTTCCCCTTCAAAATGCTCCCTCTCACCTGGAGCACACTCAGCTCTTCATTCCTAAAGCAGCTCTGGAGGTGCTGTGGTTGCCCTGCCCTTGCTCCCTCCACGGCCTGAACTGACACTCAGCATGTTTCTCTCTCATGGCCATTTTGACTCTGGGGAAGAGCCAGAAGTCAGCGCTAAATCTGGTGAATAAAGTGGAGGAAGACGCACACCATAACGTTTTTATTTGACAGAAATTACTGTAAAAGTTTTTAATCAACTGAGGGCATCAAGATAGCCACAAAAAGACACTCCCAGAACCACTTCAGCAAGTGAGAAAAATGATTGAATACGTGTGTTTGAAGGGAAGAGGAGCGCTTTGAAGGAATTAATGGCAATGCACCTTTTGCAGCACTAAAAAAGTTTTTTGTTTCAACATTCATTGTATTTTTTTATCACACCTCGTACGTATTTAGAGTTAGCACATGGTAAATGTTTTACAAAAGGTGGCTATTTTACCTGTATTTCAAGCATTTTGGTAAGATTTTACGTATTTCATTTCTATTCTTTGCTATCAATTTACAAAAATGGCTGATATTACTGGTAAGAAAAATTGAAGTTTCATCTTCAGTTTTCACAGGTAGAAAGATGGGATTTGAACCACATTCATCGTGGTACACCTCTCTGCTTTCATACGCGTTTTATTTGAACCTCTGTATACCTTAGTGCTGTATCTTTGTCTCTCTCTCAGGGAAAGTATGAAGTACAGGGACAGGGCGAGGGCCAGATCCCCCAGCTGTTGGTTCTGTACTTCTCTCACTGTAATTGCCTGGAACTTATCCATATACAAAATAGGAAAAATGATTCGGTAACATCAACTGGAACACACAAGTATTTTATTAAATCTAATTTTGATGTTTTTTTTTCCTGTTAGTTGAAATTAACCTTAACTGTAAAATTAACTGATGATTTTGAACAGTATGCTATATGCTGTCTTACATAATTCCACATAAAAGAGAAATATATACTGTAGCCAGTCCAACATTACAAATATTTTCTCTTATTCAACATATCTTAGTGATGGGGCTTATAAACACTGGTTTATTCAATCACGACTTTTTAAACGCAACATATAAACACATTGCTTGCAACTAATACAAAAAAAAAATACACTTAAAGCTCCCAACTTAAATGTTTATTGTGTCCAGCAGCCTTGACCAGGAGCAACTCCTGGATTTCAAGATCAGTTCGTACACTGTACTTTCAATCAACAGCATCGGCAGGCAGTAATCCAGGGGAAAAAAGTAAATTCCACAAATAAACAGACCTATTTTCCTTTAAGAGGAAAGCTAATTCTTTTCAATCTACTTTTTTATTACACTATTTTCCCCTCTATCTACTTAGCTAGTATAAGGATAAATTTCCAAAGCTACCCAGTTGGAAAATAAATAGGTTCACTGTTTGTCTAGCATTCCAATCTTTGCAAATGTAAATCAGTCCAACAGCTATTCCCTTAAACCTTCAACTTCACAAAACATTAAAGGGTGGCTTTCATTGCACAATTTAATCTATCCACTACGACTTCTGCCTGAACATCTTTCGAAATTGACTATCTGATAAAGAGAGACCACTATCAAAGATCAGCCAGGTCAACTTGTATAATTACAAGGAGTTTTACTGGGTCAAATCTACCAAACACCGCTGTTTGAAGGTTAAATTGTTACAATTAAGTGTATATACAGATCTTCCCAGAGTTGCTATATTGTTAAATGTACTAGAAATAGCACAAGCATTTATTTCTGACCTTAATTCTGTCCATAGAGTCACCCATTGGGAAATTATACAAAAAGACTATTTATTAAAAACATTACAATCTTGCACATTAAACAAGGCTTTATAAACAAAAATGCATAATTAACTACTGGAAACTTTTTATTTATCGCGCCCATATTAAATAGTTCATACAGGTTACTTCCTTGGGTTTAATTGGAAAAGATCCAATTAAATTGGAAATGACATCTATTATTTAATAGTTGGTGAATTTGTCCCAAACAAAGGATTTGAGCACAGCATCTTAGTCTGATCTAAAGCAGGATTCCCTCATCATGAGCACTTCCGAATTATTAGAATTCAGATTCATTTTAACAACAGAGTACAAGGAGTTTCTAAGTGGAACATTTTAGAATTGGCTGTTTTCTAATCATTTGCTTCATTTGAATGTCTTTTACAATTTTATTAAATAGATAAATGACCAGTAATAAAATCTTCCACAATCACAACAGAGCAATATAATTATTATTCTTTCTTTCATTTTATTGCGTGTAAATAAAGGTCCTTTGAAAATTTTTTTTCTCTCCACTGTACTGAAATACAGAAAGAAAAGGCAAAAAGAGAGACAGACATAAAGAAAGCAAATCAACCTTGGTGTGCCCAAAGTGTTTACCTTGATGTTTCTATAGTTTTTATATATGATGATGGAATTTCAAATGTTGTATGCAATATTTCATTAGATAAACTAACCGGTTTCAGTGGCCTTTAGGAAGCCCACTTCCCAAGCCAAGCTTTCAATTTGAGGAAATTACCATGGAAAACTCTTATTAGGAAAATAAGTCTTCAAATTTATAGATCTGAGTGAAATAGTCTTAACACACTTTATTTTTTTTAATGTTTTCAGATTCTGTGTTGGAGACAAATTTTTCCTAAAGAATAACATGATCCTTTGCCAGACAGACTACGAGGAAGGCTTAATGAAAGAAGGTTACGCACCCCAGGTTCGCTGATCTATCGACACCACCCCATAAGAATACAAAGCACTACATTCTTTTATCTTTTTTGCTCCACATGTATATAAGAACCGACACCGGAACCTACTAAATAGCGTAGATATAGGGAAACAGGATGGTTATATGGAATAAAAGGCGGACTGCATCTGTATGTAGTGAAATTGCCCCAGTTCAGAGTTGAATGTTTATTATTAAAGAAAAGAAGTAATGTACATATTGCTGGATTTTTTTGCTTGCTATTCGTTTTTGTGTCACTTGGCATGAGATGTTTATTTTGGACTATTGTATATAATGTATTGTAATATTTGAAGCACAAATGTAATACAGTTTTATTGTGTTACCATTTGTGTTCTGTTTGCTTCTTTGTATTGTTGCATTTAGTACAATCAGTGTTTAAACTTACTATATATTTATGCTTTCTGTATCTACCAGCTATTTTAAATGAGCTGTAACTTTCTAGGGAAGAATTGAAGAGCAAATCTCACTAATGATACACAGATAGATAAAGCAAGTCTATCAGCATTTTAAAATACTAAAAAATAAAGACACACAAAGCATTTTAATGACATCCACTACTTATTGCCATTATGATTTAGGGTCTATCAGTGTCCTCATTATAGCCCCCTATTTTCAGGGGGTTAAAAAATTAGCTTTAAAAAATACATAAAAATTCATCTTAAAGCACTTTTATTTTATACCAACTTGTGAAAAGTGCCATTTTTAGAATATCTCTAAAGCTTAACAGTTATCCTCCTAGTATCATGTGTGTGCTGTTTCCCTATTGAGCTTTAGTTTGTTTTTTCAGCTATACCACCTATGTGAACTAGTGCCTTTGGGTATCACGTAAAAATTTTCCAAAGGGTTACTTTAAAAAGTATTACCACAACTATGAGACAATTTCAAAATGACAAGTTAAATTTCTTGCATAAATGTTGCCTGGATCTTCCGTCAGGAGCTAAGGTTTTCATGACTTTATTGCTTAATGAATTTATGGCACTGAAAAGATCCAAGTGTGAAACTCGTAAAGTTATAACAATACACATTGAAGCTGTGATGTTACCTGAGCAGGGGGGTAACCACAACACAATGCTTGTAGAATCTTCTAGAAGAGAAGCCAAGGGATTGATGAAAAGCTGAGAATTGATGATTATTTATTTTTCTGTACTTACTTCCCATTTATTTTAATGTTCCAAAATGGACACTTGGAGTTTGATATGTTGTCCCTGCTCGTAGCTTTAAGTAATTACCAATTCGGAATATATTATCCTTAGGCTGAAATGCTGTCATTCCATTCTTCGAAGGTGAAATATTATCCCCTTACCTAAATGATAGCTGATAAGGAAGAAAGCTCTAGAAACAGAAATTATGAAAGATGATTATTTAAGTAACAAGGAAATTAAAAATAAGAATACGATCACCTCTTCCAGTGGCTCACACTTGGCTACTGCTCCTTGGGGTGGAACTCAGCAAACTTAACCCCAAATGGTCACAATGGATCGTATTTTTCTACAGCAAACACGGCGCTGTGGGTTTTTCTTTTCTTTCTTTCTTTTATTCATCATTAAGAAAACATTATTTCTCACTGTTATTTGCGTACTTACTTTTCCTGCCAATGTATGCATTACACAGGAAAATTTAATGTTGCTACTAAAGTCTTGGTTTGGGGGCAAAATGTAAAACTGGAAATAATGCTGGTGTAAATTTGAGTTGTTTTTAAAGCAAAGCTTTATGATGAACATGCATGTGAATCTTATTTTTAAGAAAATGGTTCTGTGAGAAGTGAATGATAGGTATTTTTACAAATGCTTCCTGGTTAAGAGTGTTGAAGTCACATGTCTCCAAAATTTGAGATATATTGAAGAAAGAATTTTAAAGCTAGCCATTTGGGCCCATGAAGTAATTATTATTTTACCCTTAGAGCCTTACATTTGTTTCATGAAGAGATACACCTTGCATAGTCAAAAACAAAAATCAAGGGGACAAAAAAGAAAAAAACCCAAGAAGTGATTTCTTATAGCATTCCCCGTCAGTCCACACTAACATTCATGGGAATGGAAACTTTCTCAGTATCTTTTTTCAAATGACCTTTTTAAAGTTTAAATGGCTTTATGCATATTTGTCAATGTGTGAAAAAAAAAACTTGTAAATTAAGAAGAAAATTCTCTCAGCTTCTTGAAGCTGCTCAACTATCCTTTGCCACTTCAAGACTGAACAAGATTTTCACAATTACTTCTTTTGTTTAATCCTTTGGGGATTCATTTTAATACTTTTATTCCCAACAAAATTATTCACCTGGATTAAAGATTAAGCCTTAATCTGTTTAATCTCCATGGAATTGTGAAACAAGACAAGAGTAGCTTTTCAGCTGTAGGATATTTTACAGCTAATTGCTCATAAATAGTAGCATTTTGACCTGAAGTACTAAGCTAATTGTCTTGACTACTCAAAGCCCCTCAACTGTTGTTAACTTTCCCCTTTGTGTTGTGTGTAGCCCTGATGTCACTGAGCTTGTCCTCCTGTGCTCCAGAAGGAAGCGAAGGAGCTCAGATTTCCAGATTTCTCAAGCAGAGAAAGCCCTTCCTTCCCTTGCTTTTCCTACAGGCTGCTTGTGATGAAGGACCAGGTATCCAGTGCACCATCGTGCTGAGTCTAAAAGCTGACCTGTGTTTGTGATTTCACTTTCATCTTGCTTAATAAATATCTGCTGGCTTCTTTCATTCACTTTTCAATATTTGGATTTATGTTTTTCATGAAAGGGCCATTCTGCTACTTGATTGCACTCAATTGGCAAAATGGAAAATGAGGTCTAGAAAGTCTTCATGAAGCTTATAAAAACAGGAAAGAAAGTCTAAGAGCATGGGCTTTCCAGAGGTGAATCCTAACAAGCACATAGAAAAGGCACCTTTCTCCAAATACTGTAGTTTGTTTTGGATATCTGAGATAGGTGGCACATTTCCTTCTGTGGAAAGGATGAAACTGTCACCAAGGATCATAGTATCATTTTTGCATGTTCATACGAATTTTCAGTGATCTTTCTGAAAGCAACTGAGTTGATGTCATCAGGCTAAATTTGAAATTTCCTATTTCCTGTATAATGAATGAAAACAAAAAACTTAATCCCATATTTTCAAGAGAGACATGGTGTGGCTGAATTGAAACAGGGTGGTGAAAATTATGTCTGCAGCAAAATATACACAAGTGGTTTCATTTTAACTATCACTTTAGGCAAACCACTCTCGGAATAGTCACTTAAACAATTTCATAGAAATGATATAGGCCAACCATGTTTAGTGTTCACTTCAGTAAGTTGGAAAAACAATCTGCATGTTTATTGTAATAGGCCATTAGCACAGAATGCAATTTTAATAAAAGCCTCTCAATCATTACTTTTTCTTAAAAACATCATTACAGATGTTTCTTTGTTAAATGTGATTTTAATACACTCCGGCAAAATAGAAGGCAAAGGACTGATACAGCCATTATTTCAGTTGACATTTATTGAGCTCCTACTATGTGATAGGATGTTCCCTGAACGCAGACACCTACAGACAGAAGTAGGGTGCTTCATACATCCAGGGACTGTAGTGTGTTTTTGCTTCGCTTTTGAGTCATCACAACCGCGCTAATAAAGAGTACACAAATGTAAGTACCATCTTCTACCTCTTCAGCACGTCATCGGTATGGAAGCCCTAGAAAATATCTCCAGTCATCAGTGTGTTCAGAGAATTATCTCACACAAATCACTCATTAACTCAATAGCACATAATAAAAAGAACATCAATTAATTAATGAGTCACCCTCAGATCGCTGTGATTACAATAGGGCTCTGTTGAAACAGCAGTTATAAATGAAGCTGCCTCTCTTTGTTCATTGTTTGCAATTGGCCCAATATTTGCCTGGAACCAGTGTCATATTTAACACATGCCTGTAGGTAATTGTGTGATTAGTATCATAAATAAAGAATTTTGAAAATCTACTGCTTATAAGACCTCAGGGGGGAAAAAACACCTCAGTTTTACTCTAGCTTCCTTTGAAGACAGGCTATTAGAAGGGTGTTATCTTTCTAAAAGGTATAGTTCTACATTTATAATAAAAATGTAAAACTGGCATATTGAGCACTAGAAGAATTAGCTGCCAAAATACCTACAGGTAAATTTTACAATACTTGTGTACACATATGATTTAATTTCAGTAATGTTGTGAAGAATAAAATATGTACGATCAGAGCCAATTTTGCTAATGTTTTGTTCCCCTCAAAAGGACACTTCGGGTGAGCTGGGTTAGGGTCATTTTGTAGAGAATGACAGCAATAGGGGAAGGGATTAAAAGAAATATCAAATGTTACACACAAAGTCACCCACTAAACTTCCCTAACTATCTAGTAAATGCCATTTCGGTAAGCATATAGAATAATTATAACAGTTCCCTTAGGTAAGTAAGAAACATCTGTTGGTAACACGTAGCAGGTGTTAACAATTACACATACTGAACTTTTAAAAAATGTTTTTAATTAAAAGTATTCTGTTTTACGGGGAGAAAACTATGTTAAATTCAAAGATATTCCTGTTTTATTTGTCCAGATCACATAATGCACAAAATTACAAAGGCCAAATCATCTTGGATCATTTATGCTTTGTGTTTGATTCAGATCATTGAAATCAGAAATGAATTATAATTTATTGCACTTTTTACGCAATTGATATTCTGAGCCGAGGAGCTGAATATTTTGCGTTTATGGGTAAAGTAGTTGTCATTAACTAAATTGAGCAGACAGTGATACAAAGAAAAATGAGAGTGACAAACTTTCAGGTAATAGATAAACAATGCTTTATTTTTTTAACACTGCCCTGGAGGGACTTTAAATCACCCAAACAGTACTTTTATAACATGGAACATTATCACGTGTCCCATCTTCAATAGCTTTTAATAATGGTAACACATTTACTGAATATTTGCCATCTATCGGGTAACTTTCTATACCATTGCACAACAGCCTGGGACATATGTGTCATCACTCTTATTCTACCAATTTTTAACTTGTAAGCTTTGTTTTTGAGATAGAGAAATGATCATACCATGTTGTCCAGACTGGTTTTCAACTCGTGTTCCCAAGTGATCTTTTCACCTCAGCTGGGACTAAAAGTATGTGCAATCATGATTGGCTTTCCTGATTTTAAATAAGAACATTGATATGTTATTTAACTTGCTGGAGGCCAAGTGGGGAAGTGGACTTGAGGTGGTAGGTAGGTGACCCTGAAGTTTAAACACAAGTTTACTGGGTCTTCACCACTCTACTAATATCATCTGTTATAAGGTTGTCATTATTATTATCATTATTGATTTGGTAGTCTCTGGGAATAGCCAAGAGCTAGAAGGAGTTGTCCATGCTTGAGAAAAATTGCAAACATTTCAGAGTTAATGTCATCATTTAAAAAATGGGAGCGTGTTCATCTTTTCCAAGATGCAATCTGTTTGAGTTTTCTTCTTTGCAACCACACCATGAAGGTTATTTGTTTTCACTGCTAAATCCGGGGTATCAAAAATAGAGGACCCTTTAGTACAGCACTTTTGGGAGCACAGTAAATGGGAATAGACTGCTATAGTTTTCCACAGTAGTCCAAACATGCTATAGTGAGGTGAGGCTAGATGGGTCTCCAAAATCAAGATAAATGTATGAACATATTATCTATCTTTGATATTTTATAGCTTACTTTCATAAGAACAGATGGGATTGAAGATTGAAGTCCTCACATTAACAAACTATATCAAGCTTTCACAATTGCACAAGTTGTAAAGGATGCTAAGTCCAAGTCAGTGCCAAACAGCTAAGCAACTCTGGTCTCAAAATTACAGTGACAGGGCAGGACAAAGTGAAACAGGACAAAACTGTTAGCCTTGTTGCTGAGTGGGGGGAAAATGCAATTATTCACATCCTCGCAATGCCATACAGCAAGGTCCCCAAATCCTTGTCTTCAGCGCTCTGACTGCCTGCTGCCGTCACCACCAACTCCTCCTCGTCCACTTGAACCAACATCGCTTCAAATTGAGTGGCCTTGATGGAAACGCACACCACTGGAGAGACTCCATGTTTTCAGTAGATAACTCATACTTAAAGTGAAGAGCTCAGAGCTTTGATGATTATGAAGAAACATGGTCAAACTGGCTCTCCTAAAAAATGTTTTCTTCCTCAACTTGGATGGCACATTGGAAGCGCCAGGAATTTTAAATTTTTGACAGCTTAGATTCATTAGAAAGACTTACTAAAGTATCCTTAAGAAGGTCCAGTTTTTTTATGACCCGGATTTGGGGGGAGCTGCTGAATTGTCTAAAATTTAACCTTAACCAATGGTTCCTGTGTTCTTAGAGAATCAATTTGGTGCCAAGAGAAGCAAGGGCAAGGAGAAGCCACAGGAACTACATGCGAGGTAGTTATTAGTAGATGAAAAGAAAATATCAAAAAAAAAAAATTCTCCTGTTGGAAAGAGCCAGGTAGCTTAATCTGGAAAATCACTAGGCATTTACCATGTTTATAGTAGACATTTCTAAATTCTTTCTGCCTGAGAGACTTCGGTGCATAAAATATAATGTTCACTGCTGTTTATTCTTTGTTTAATGCTCAATTTATTAAACATACAACTCTACTAAATGCAATTCACTACACATTTGTACACCTTTTAAACAGCTAATAAAGCAAAACTTGTAAATTTAATAAGTCATATTCAGCCATTTAAACATTGATTAGAATCTTAGTTAAATCTTCTAAACATTTCGATAAATTTCCACAGAAGCTCCAAGCCTTTAAAATCAGACAAAAACCCCTGAATCAAAACTTCTTTTAGAAAGTATCCTTAAGATCATAACAAAAATGTTAAATTCATATTTTTATCTTTCACTCATTAGCTTTCCAAGATTAGACTAACAGTAAATAATTCCTTTACAAAGTTAGAGAACGTGGTCTCAACCAAGTGAGGTTATTGAGCCTGCATGTGGACAACATGAAACTTCGTTAGGCCACCAAATTAGCTGCTCTGTATAAAACGTTCAAATTTGAACATTAATTTGTACAATAATTTAATAGTCATGTCTCCCTTGTTACATAAGTGAAATTTTCCAAAGTTCAGGTCTTTCACACAGGTTGGAAACTCCTGTAATTATTTTCCAAAATTGTCATGAGTGTTAGCAATAGTGGTAACTTATACATGCCACATTAGTATCATTAGAAGATGCAGTACATCCCTTACATATCTTTACCATCTAAGAAGGGAGAAATTGAACCTCTGCAGTCAAATTTCTGCATTCTCTTCAGAGCTGATTATTACACAGTGTCACTTGTGTTGATTAACACTTTGTGTTCTTAGGATGGTTTGGATTTAACAATTCTCTAATCTTCTCCACTTAGAAAACAGAGACAAATATAAAATGACACAGTATAAATACATACACATTCAATAGAAGAAACAGGCCATACTATTACACTTAGCTTTTTTGTACAACCAATGTTTTGTATATGCTCACTTGTACCTTTTTGGTACAACTGAAGTGGGCTCAATGCTTTCATAGACTCCAAGATGCAAGGCAGGGGGATTTAGGTATTGATTATGTTACAAATATTTGTGTGTATGGGGTGGAGGTGTGCTCACACAGAAACAGTTCTTGTTTGGGGTGTCAATCAAAATATCTTTTTGTGAAAGATACTATTTTAGAAAAGCAAAAAGTCAAGAGCTTGAAAAAAGAAATGCAGAGTTCAGCACAAGGTGAGCAGAAAGTGAACTGACACAGAATAGTGTGCACAATCTTAAAATGGCACGGGCCAAACACGACATACTGAACTCACTTAAACCTAGGAAGAGTAGCTTTAGTTGGACAGTAAAATGAGAATTAAAAACAAAAAAAAAATCAAGAGCTGAGGGCACAACTTAACCATTCATATCAGGAAAAGTTTATTTCATTCTCAATGATGTACCACAAAGCCATATTTGCAATAAACTATCATCAGGTTTATGAAGACCTAGATTATTTTTGGTTGAACCTGATGACAGTTTACCTCAAAGCACAATTTTCTTAATCTCAGTTAACACTTTTTTCCCCAAAGAAAGCATTTGAGAAAAATAGATACCCTTAAGAACAGCAGCTTTGCTAGTAGGCACATATTGTAGTCAGGATTTTGCAAAGGAATAGGTTGAATACAGAACATGTTATAGGATTATATTATGATGTTCACCCAAAAAGTCAAATGCAGAAGAGTGCAAGAGATCTGTCCATGCACTGGAGATCTGAAGAATCCAGCTAAGGGCCTGGATCCCAGAGCCCCTGTGAGTCCAGGATAAAAGATGAAAGTCTGTGCCAGAAAGCACAGGAGCCAGTGCTCAAGGCTGGGGAGTCTACGCCGAGAGCCAGGAGATGACGCCATGGTGAAGGTGAAGACAGGAGCTCCTCAGAAGAGAACAGCAGCCCAACTTCAGCAGACTCTGCTCTTCTGAGGGTAGGAAGCTGGGGGGCTGTGAGATGCTGTTCTGAGTCTCCGGCAGCCCCCAGTAGGAGAACTGCAGCAGAGGCATGAAATCCTCCCCTCCTGTTCTCTTTTTAATTCTTGTTCTCACACTTGGGAAGTTTTACCCTAAATTATTACAGTTAATGTAGCAAATAAAAAGAAACAAAAAGATATGTATTGTTTCTGATGACTTACTGGATATAGGGAATATTATATTTCATGTGAAAGTACAGAATTGTATTTCTGCTTTAATTCTTTGGGATTTTAAGGAAAAATGCAACAGCAAGAAATGCTATTAATTGGAACAACAGATCTTTCTAGTTAGCCATTCAATAACCTTTTCCCCATTCATTATTACTAATAGATGTTGAGCATGGGAAAACACAGATTTTTCATTTCACAGCCTCTTTGACACCCAGGTATGGCCATTTGACATCATTTTGGTAGAGATGGAAAATAATAGGAAACAATGGAGCCCTTCTGGATACCTTGTGTTTCCTGATGCAAGTTCTACTTCCTCTATATTGTTTCCTCCTTCTCACTTGTGATCCAAATGGAACCAGAGCTGGACCACCCATTTGAAGCACAAATGACCAAGAGGATGAAATTATAAACTAAAACAGCCCAGTGCACTAATGAAATCATGGAGCCACCACAGCAGGGCAGGCTTGGGCCACCTTGAACTTGTACTGTCCAGCTCACCTCTCGATGTCTCATCACCATGGCTGAGTTACC